ATTTGCTTCAATGCCCAAAAGAGCTCTTCCACCAATAAGAGTCCTTTTGAGATTATGACTGGTCAGCAATCGTTACTCCCTCATACTATGGATATCGATCAAAGTACCAAATCTCCTCAAGCGAAAAACTTCTCTCAAGTCTCAAGAGAGGAAACAAAATATTGAAATTGTCTAGAGTTATCTTAAGAAAGCTAAAAAGCAATATAAAAAGTCTGGAGATTTAAAACGTCATTTCCTTGAATTTAATGTTGGAAATCTGGTAATTGTCAAAATTCCCAACAGAAACTATTATAAATTGACAAGAGGGAAAGACTCATGATTGGTGCCAAAATATATTAGACAATTACCCATTGTGAAGAGGATTGGAAGAGTTGCATACAGAGTTACACTCCCTTCATGGTGCAAAATCCACAAGGTCTTTCATGTTGGTGTACTCAAGCCATACTTTGCAGATAAGGAGGTCTCGTCCAGAAATGAGCCGAAGAGACCTTTGTTTGAGCTGAGAAAAGTCGGAAAGAAGGTTGCTGAAGCTATACTGGACCATCATACTACTCGAACTTCTAGAAAATATCATCAAGAGTACTTGATCAAAAGGAATGGATGCAACAGCGAGGAGAATACTTGAGAAAGAAAAAAAAAGACCTAGTAGCCTTCAAACTATTAATTGAAGCATATCATGTATTGAGGGTACTGATGACGTCACCAAAATAAATGGGGGAGAATGTTAAGGACCGCAGCTTTACTTAGCCCCTTGACCCAATTGTAGTCGCAGTTTATCCAACTTTGACCACACATTGTAAATATTAGTTCAGTTTAAGTTGTAATTTCCTTTTCATTGTGATAGTTTATTTCAGTTGTAAAATCACTTTGATATTTGTAAACGTTGAGTATGATTTTTCGTCATTTAAACGTCTACTCCTATTATTTAGATTTTTTTTCCGCAAAATATTATAGGGTGTATTAGTCATTCAAAAATCTTTCAAACTTACTGGTATTCGCCCTCTGCACCAGCCATTGTAATTTTCTTTTTCATCAATCAATGATCAATTTACTTTCAATGCATCTACATTCTCTGTTGCAAGCTTTCTACAAATTATAATCAAATTCTCTTTTGTCCCAAAACGATCGAGAAAAGGTGGAAGGTAGTCTAATAGAGCAGACTATTATCACACAATGTCCCTTTCTGTGCCAGAAGAAAAGCACCCCGTGAAACCTTGTATTGGAAAAAGCATCTCTCTACTTTGACACCCTTTGCAGCAACATTAGTGGCCTATGAGATATTCCCAAATAAGGCGAAATTCTCATGACACCATTGTTCTTTGCAGTAGACTTTTCCATAAGAGTGCGTTTGATTGCAAGAGTGGAAAATTGGTGGAAAAAAAATGTTTTACAGGGAAAGGATTTGCCTAGAAAATGTTTTACAGTGAAAATAATTTCAAGTGTGTTTGATTAGTATAATTTTCTACCTGAAAATTTTTTTAATTTTCTGTTCGTTTGGCTTTGTTTTACATGCAAATTGTCAATTAAAGTGATTTTTTTTCACAATTGGTTATAAAATTTGTTTTCATTGCCAAAAAGTAAAAAAAAGAAAAAAAGAAAAAAAAATTGTTTCCCAAAAAATCATTTTTTTAATCAAAATTTAGTATTCGTTTGACTTTATTTTACATGAAAATTGTCCATTAAAGTGAATTTTTTTTTATAATTGATTATGATATTTGTTTCCATTTCCAAAAATAAAAAAATAAAAAAATAATTTGCTTCAGCCGGTTGGGAAAATATTTTCAAGGAAAACTAAGAAAATGTTGACGTGGCGGGTGGGGAGGGAAAATATTTTTCAGGAAAAATTTGGGTTATCAAACAGCGCAAAAATGAAAAACGAAAAATATTTTCCTACTTTCTTGGAAAATTTCGCCAATCAAACGCGCCCTAAGTAGAAAGATCCAAGAAACAGTATGATACTCTTGATATGACTAGGCATTATGACCACCTTCAAACACAAAATAAATGGCGCACAAAGTACAAGATCAAAGATATCATATTCAAAATTTCTTTAAATAACCTAGACTTGCGCAACAAAAGATTTGAATCTAGCCAAAATTTTATCCATTTATCTTTTCAGCACTCAAACATTCTAGTTTTGACTTAATCGTCGAATTGAAGATAAATGGCGAACTATCCTGGCACTACGGCCTTACATTCTAGTTTTGACAGCAAGAATTGTTAAGATTCGGAGGTCAATGGTTTTTCATTGAACATATTACAAAGGATCTAGTCATGGATATTCCTTTTAAATTCAAAGGTTGAAATGGGAATATCCATTTGGTTAACTGAAAATACCCTGCAATCACTTCTTCAACACAAAGAGAATATTCTAGCTTTAGAAGTTCAATTGGATTTGTCAAGGTATTCTGATGACAACAACGTTCCATCTAAATGTCATAATCTTCACTTGTTCAAAGAAATGGCCCATCTATTTCTTGTCACAAGTATCTCCAACTTGACCAAGAATTTTCTATTTTGATGTCATTTTCAACTCAAATCAATCATTAGATACAATTAAGGGTAATTTGAAAATTCACATTATTTGGTCTGAAAAGAACATGTTGAAGAGAGAAAATCTTGAAATTTCTAAGTCCATTCATATATACAAACATGGGATGAGAAAAGTTGGCATCCATGTTCACCAGAAACACTCCTAACATACACAACTTCTAATCATACTCAATTAGCATACTCTGGTAAAATTATACAAACCATTCCAGTTTCGTTATACTCGAAATCTAGTTAAAAGGATCCTCGAACCGAGCTATGAACAGACAAGTCTCCTTGATCATCTATAAGATCGTCAGTTCATTCGCGCCCTAGTCGGATGATCCAGAAACCTTTACATAGTTCACACCATCTTCAATGGCACAAAACTGGCCTACTTACTCGGAAAGAAAATAAAGAGGAAAAATGGAAAAGAAAGGGTGAGATTGATGCTAATTCTCTTCCAAGTTAAAGCAGGTTCCTTCATTGTCTGAAGACAAAGGAAGAATAGTGCTCCCTGTTCTCATTCTTCGCTTCTTGGCTCGAACAAATTAAAATTCTCCGCACCATGTTACAGAATTCTCTGCAAGAAAATTACCATATCAAACCAAACATATGAACAGACAAAATTTGAATAGTATCACTATACTCCAGATGACAAAGAAATAGTAGACTTACGGCCATGGATCATCACCCATGAGCATCATATCCCCTTCGTTATCTGTAAAAACAATTTCCCATTTGTTTCGAGGCCAGAGTTCCCCTTTTATTTCAAAGATCTCTTCAAGCTCACTTATAAGCTCATCGTATCCCTTCAATGCAGTCAAGTCAACAGCACGACCCACTGCAACCCCTTGCATTTGAACCTTTTCAAGGATTTACCCAACCAAACACAAATTTTTAAATCAAGAACTTTTTTCCAAGTGATTAATGCCGAATCAGTAATGTATTTGAAGTGATTATACCTTGGTGCGACTTCTGGTGGAGGGACCGTGGCTACTTTGACCCTCCTTTGTGGAACCTCGAAACTGCTCTTTCTTCAGGTATTTGGAATCCTTTGAAAGACCAGATTCATGTTTTGAATTGACCGAGGAAAGTGCACTTGGAACATATACATCACCAGTATCGGTTGATATGTCAATTGATTTTGGAGGAGAATCCTTATTATGGGCAGAGGGACTTGTCAAATTAATCCCAAACAATCGGCAAGATGCAACAGTGGCCTCCCTCTTCTCATAATTTGTATCTGACATTGGGGTATTGCTCAGTTTTCCTGAATCTAGAGCTGAATTGTTTGAAAACATAGGCCATACCGAGGCACTTTTACTCTCTCCGGTTTCTTCAGAAAACATATTTAGAGAGGATTTTGAAAGACTAAGCCAACCAGGAACTGGAATTTCAGCAGGTGATCGAAGCCTTTTATGCTTCACTCCCATTGGATGAACCAACGCGGGGGACGTGGGTGCTGACACCACAAAGGGTTCTATTTCCCATGGAGAAACCCTTTCAGGTCTTGGAATAGATGCAGGTTCATCCCATCGAACCTGTGCATATGAGGAGAAAAGAGAGCAAAATTTAAAACTTCAGTCTTTCAATAATGCTAATTTGGAAGTAGAAGATCAGCATATAAACTAACCTTCAATGATCGCCAGTCCGAATCTTCCCAGTTGGGAGAAATATCTTCCATCCCAACTATTGTACCAGAAAACCTGATCGATTGGAGAAGCAAAATCAAAAAACTATTAGCAAGTCGACCTACAAACTTCTAATATAACCAGGTTGCATATATATAATTTAACAACCTTCTCTCGGGAGAATCTTCTCCCTCGAATCTCATTTTGAATCTCATGCCAACTTTGAAACCATGATTTACAGCTTCTTGATATTTGTTGAGGCCTACGATGAACTGACTTGTTCTAAAACATTTTACCACAGAAGACACATGTAAGAAGATGAATACACAAACAGCATTTTAAGTGAAAAATGAGAATATTTACCGGACCTTGGCTTGTAATAAACAACAAATATGGTCTGTGTTGCAACTGCATGAGATGCCGTTGCAAGCACTCCGAGATGCATGCTCTGACTTGAAATAACTGAAGACGGCATGGTGCACTGTTGACGAGCATGACGCCTAACTCCAACACGTAATTCCCCATTCTCTCCCCTAGAAACAAAGTTTTACATATTCAGTGACACGAAAGAAAAAAAAATGTAGTGAGATATTTTTCCAGAAACATATGGCAGCAACAAATCATTGTAAGTGTGTACAATAAATAGATACCTCAAAAATACAAAAGAATCCCCAGCAACTAATCTCTTAGAAGTAACGAATGTACTCCATCCCGTTGTAAGCAAATGCCGTCGGGGTTGACCTGTTCAGTTTTTGTCAGAGATATATGGATTCCAAGCAGAATTCAATATCACACACATACAGTCAGGATTATACACATATTTATTTGCTAATATTGGCATTTATTCATTAATTAATTTGTTTATTTTAAAAAAGCTTATCCACACCAGCCAATACATAAAAAACAGGAGAATTAGAATGGCCAAAACGAAATATGACCTCTAAATATATGCTTAAAGTGCCATTCAGTTCCATGTAAATCTTTGGCTACCAATTCTTGGGTTGGTGTCTGCTGGGTCATATCCTGGTGCAAGAACAACCGTTAACCGTAGCTTAGAACAAGCTCTTAACAATCCAAACAACAAATATGCAGAGACATCTGGCAAAAGAAAACAGAAAAACTGTTTGGAAAAGGTGATGATTTACTACCAAGGGAGGAAGGCATTCGTTAGCATGTCTACGGAGAACAGAGAATCCACCATGTGTGCTGGTATCAGAGGCTGTCAAAACCTTGCAGAATGAGTGTATAGCAGGTCTAGGTTGCTCGAGAGGACCCTTATCCGGACTTATATTCTCGGTTCGCTACAAATAGTTATATCCAATAATGACTTAATTTTTCTTATCTAAAATCGATGTAAGAAAAACAATCTCCCCAATCACTGGATGCAAATATAGCAATACAGATACACTGGGAATAATTTAAGATCTTACTGCTTCTGGCATCAAAGTTATTTGTGTATAAACTTCATCAGTGTCTTGCTCGGCCTAAAACAGACAAAAATTTAAAAATAAGTAACTATATTCTCCACTTATATTCGTAGCGTATAATTTTGTTTATATTAATCTTTATATTACAGAAAATAGAATTATTATTCACTTCTTGCAGAAACAAACCTGGAACAACATTTCACAAAATAAAAAAAAAGTAAAAAAATGTGAAGTCCATACCAGTAGCTGAACATTAAAAACACGACATAGGATCTTTGAAGGCAACTTGAACATTGTTATCCTCTGATTCAGTTCCTGATTTGTAGATGCCTCCAACTAACCAAACCCAAAAACCAGAATTTTGTTAAGGGAAATATCCCACGTCAATTAAAGATGACACAATTACCCAACATATAATCTTACCAAGATTAGTGTTCTAAGATAGAACCCAAGTCATAATAAATTTTCACTCCATAAGAGCAAAAAAAAAATTGAAAATGAAAAGATTACATACTTGTTCCATGTGACCTTGAGGAAAATAATAAACTTTCTCTCCATTTTTTGGAACATCCACCAATGGACCTGCACAAGCCTTCCATAGCTCCTTATACAAAACATCCTCAGCACCGCATCCTGAAATTTTCAAGAAAAAAGGCATTATTGTCCGAAAATCTTTTTTTTTTTCCTTTTTTGAAAAACCACAAAAATAATCTAAGGTACGTTGTACAGATTTGACCTTCAGCTGAAACGTTGATTTGCTGTTGAGAAAGCGAGCCTCTATTTGCCATCACTAAGCAATCTCTTTGATAAAAATATGTTCTTTAAAATCTCAGGAAAACTATGAAATGAAGGTAATAATAGTAAATTCATAAACAAAAAAAAAAAAAACCGTTGAAACGGTTGGATAGAACGTGCGACTGTTACAGCGGCGCCACCGCGCCGTGAAACGGACGTTTCTTGAGCAGACGCGAAACGGCGGTACCGAAGCCTTGATTTACACACAATCTATCTCTCTCTCCCACACACGGTTTTCAGTTTATCTCTACTAAAAATATTGTATGTATCGTAGGAGTGGTTATATGGAACATGGTTAGGTTGTCTCCTTTTTATGTGCAGTGATGCCAACCTGAGTTAGCTCTTTAACTAGAGATGGCAGTTACAGTGACGACATTCTGGGAGGAAAATTGGGGTCCAATTTTAGTATCGGTCGCATGATACTGATGCAACAAGCACGGTTGGGGACTTGTTGTTGACTTATTCATTTTATTTTATTTTTCTGTGGGGTTAGTTGATTAAAAATAATGATAATAATAATTTTCTTTTTTTTTTTAAATATTATTAGGTGATGGGGCCTTTTCCCATTAACCAACCTTTATCCCAACTCAAAACCATGATTACTATTCTAAATATTTTTGATTAAAATCAAATAAAAGGTGTGAAAGATATATTTTGAAGTAACTTGATATTGTTGTGTTATCATGTTTTAATATAATTTTATTATTATCACGTTTTTACTAAATTACATGCTTGATTTCTCAACTGATTGTAAGAGTGTACACTAAATTTCAAAAATTGTTAAATAACGATTTTTGTGATTTTAAGTTCCTATTTGAGCCATATTATTTCAAAAATCATGTTGTTCCAAACTTATTTTCAACCATACATTTTCTCAATATGATAATTTACACGTAAATTCCCAAAAAAATATATTTTTTAACCACATACAAAATCTATTTTTTCAACATAATAAGACTAACAAAGTCTAAAAACAATAGGTTTTGTACCCGGGGCATAGTTCGGTGGTGTAAATGACAGGAATAAGGTAGTCTCAGTTAATCTGACAGTCGCAGTGTGAGGGTTAGATTCCTACCTCTTATAAGGTATGAAATTGGACTTTTTTTATGGGCACTAGTATGACAACTCTTATACCTTAACCTGTTGAGGCACATTCCAAGATTTACCTCCTCCACAATGATCTCGAGGCGGGTTCAACCTTTAAGAACATATTATTTTGCAGGTCAATCCTTGAAGCAGTTAATATTCTAAGATTCTCGTATATTTGTCACGTCAACAATTATTACTGTCTTAAAAATGGAAAAAAAATTGCTACTTCTTATTGGACAAAAGGAAGAAAAATTTGACTGAGCTCCCAAAGAGGAATTATATGTTTGCGGTGTCCCATTGGTTGTCTGCTCCGCACCACAGCAGGGAAACAGGGTTGGCCCCACTAAACCCAACATAGAATTTTATCTTTTTCAAATTAAGATTTTTGATATTTTCTCATATTTGACCTGCGGATTTTGCCTAAATTACCAAATCAGCCACCAAAGTTATTCCGGTCCCCACACGAACGTGTCTGAACTAAATTCAGTGGTCCTAACATAGTACAAGTTATCAGGTATATCCACCTGGACCACATTATATATCTTTATGATGAGTAAATAAGTTAAAATCAAGTTATTGTTTGGGATAATTGTTAAAAAGTTGAAATTAAAGTAAATAATTTATTTAACTACATGTTTTATAAAATACATAATTTTTATCCACCTTTTAATTACACATTTAATCACTTTTTATCGAAAGCTTCGGCTAAGTGTATACTAAAGCAAATTGGATTTGGCTCTTAATATTTTTCAAAAAAATGCATGGTCAACTCTTATTAACCCCTTGTTTGGTGAAAATTAAAATTAGTTCTTTATTAAATTTTGATACAAGTTGATGAAATGTGTGGTTGAAAAGTTCTAAACCCCATGAAATATGCTATTGAAATCAATTATTAGCTTTTATTTAGATTTTAATTTTCACCAAATAGGGGCAAAATATAAAATAAATTATTAAGGTACATTATTTTGGACCGCTTCCTTTATAATCTCTTAACATGATTAATATTTTAAAATGAAATCTCAAGTCTTATTATAGCATCAGTAAGAAATCCATGTAAAAATCAAATTGAGCTCTCGAATTTCACTATTGGTGAGATCAAACGAGCCACCATTTTGCCGATCGGAGTATGTCGAAGGTAGAGGTGGCAATGAGACGACCCACGAGCTCGGCTCATGCTCGTCATGAGCAGAGCTTTTGCTCGGCTCGTTACTCACGGGCAGAGCTCGGCTCGGCCCGTGAGCTCGTGGGTCAGCTCGCGAGCTCGTTAATTTTTTTTTTTTTTTAAGATAAAAAAATAACAATTCACAAAGACGAGCTCACGAGTCGCTCGCCTAGCGAGTTGGCCCGCTCGACTCGTGCTTGGGCTCGTCATTTGACGAGTCAGAGCAACCCATGAGCCAAACGGTTGAGTCGACGAGCCGCTCTGCCCGTTTGCCACCACTAGTTAAAGGTATTATCCTATATGTCCGTCCTCTTAATATGAAATTTTAGGTCTTTATATGGTATAAAAACATACTCCCTCCGTCCAACATTGATAGATTTATTTCTATTTGTACATAAATTAGATAATGTAATTAATATGGTTGAAAGCATAAATTTTTCTTATATACCGTTACATTAAATAATATTTTAAATATGAGTAGTTTATACTTGTTGATAACAAAGCAAATTAAATAAGGACATATTAAAAAATTAACTATTCTATTACAAGAAAAGTGGCCTATAATTTGGGGTAAACCAAAAAATGAAAAAATAGTCCTATCCTTATGGATCTAATGGAACAATAAATTCAAACGAACAATTAATTTGTCCAAAACTTAATAATGAGTATTATGATTTCATGATTAATGGGCACATTCACTAAATTCCATAATGATTGTTGGAAAAAAAAAATTTCACTTCTCTATAAGAGCCTGTTTGTCTCCCATTATTGGGAGAAAAATAGAGTAATGAATAGTATTTTTGGAGAATATATAGTTGAAAAATAAAGTAACTTTATTAGTTTGTGTGTAGAATATTTTATTGATGAATGTGTGGTGGATAATCTTACTATAGCAAACAATTTTTTGGAATAAATGATAGACAAACAGGGGATAAATCTTCCCACAAGTTACATTTATCTAATTATCTACATTTACTTTTGATTGATGGAAGAAAAAACGTCGAAGACAATTGACACTAACTCCAAAACTCACTAAATCATAACGAAACTGTGATCATCATCCATTTAGATTGATGATCACAACAACAAAATTATTTATTTATTTATTTATTTTTAGTAGGGACGTCGGCGGAGTTTCTTAACTTTTTCATTAATATAATAATTGGCTTTTAATGTTGAGGATTAGTGTCCTAGATTATGATTTAAAACCTTTTTAACATTGTTTTAGTTTATAATAGAAAGGACAAACCAATTAGATGGAGTTTATGTGAATGCCTGCTGTCCCAATGCATAATTAGGCAAACATCTGAATTTATTAGTCTAATCTTTATCATTAAACACCTCTTTGTTCATTAAAAAATATGATTATGGAATGACCTTTCGCTTTCTTGAGGAGTCCACACTGTTGACCTAATTAATTAATATTGTATAATTATCTTCTCGATTGATATTGTCCTTCCTACGTATAATTTACTAAAACACCAATGTAGTTGGCATTATAGGACTAGTCCAATTAAATGGATCAATATTCTTTTCACTTAATTTAATTTAGTGGACCATTCATATGACATCGACTGGATTAGTATTTTAATAGCAATGGTTAAAATTATTCAAGTATTAATATATTAACCAACATACTTGGTATTGGACCATTTCTCTTAACAATGTTGATCTTTTAAAATAAAACACAGGTCTTAGTATGGCATCAGACTTCATTATGTTTGAACAAATAATTCGATACGTCTAAAACTTAAAACAATCATTCTGATTGCATGTTTGGTTGCCACCATTTTGCAAACATGTTAAGGTTAGATTCTCGCATCAATTAATTATAGAAATATCAATCATCATATAAAGATTTGATATACTCTTCTCAACAACGTTGACCTTATAAGATAAACCATCAATTGAATATGTGACCCAGATTTCGACGTTGGCTCAATTTTTATTGAAAAGGGAATTAAAGAGCAATCAAAGTTGATAATTGGAGTTTAGAATAGCAAGTGGACGCTTGGGCATCCAAACGAGATGCCTAGGACCCAAGAAATGAATTTTGGACCCGAAACTCAGCGCTTTAGCGCCATTTACATAATTCTTGTCAGGATTCTAACAAATGGTATCAAAAACTAGTTCATTGCTCTTCACAAGTTTTGATTTCCTTTTAGGATAGCAACCTTGAAGTATGATATTCCGTTTTTAGATCGCAATACAAGATTCTCATTGTGACAGATAAATATGTAAGCAGTGCTCGCTCAGATGGATTTGGGCGACGCCTTGTTGGGATTTAATAAGATGTCCTCAAATTAGTCATTCGAGAAGACACAATGTAAGGATCGAAAGTCGGTTTCTCAAATTCGTCTTAATCTTTCAAATTGCATTCTTCAGAAGTTTTGAAGGACAAAACCTCAGCTGTGTTATGGTTGAAGTTGGAGTAAATGTGCATGACCAAGAGTCTAACTAGCGAATTGCACCTGAAGCAATGTGTATTCTCACCGTATAGCAGAAGGTACATCTCTAAAAAATTACCTTACTGTTTTTAAAGAAATTGTCTTCGATTTGAAAACATTGGAGATTAAATATGATGAAAAAGATTTAGAGTTAATTTTGTTGTGTTCGTTGCCCGCTTTATACATTTCGTTTAGAGATACAATATTATATAGTCGTGATACTCTCACCTTGAAGAAGTTTATGATACTTTATTTTCAAATGAGAAGATGAGACATCTCATTGGATTTGAGACTC